TTCCCTTTTTCGTTTAATAAATTGGGTAATACGAGTGTAATGGTGACTAAAGGGTGTTTTTTCATGTCCTCGATGCTCTAACTACGAAAATATTTGATTTACAAATAAGGAATCCTCCTTCGCAGGATTTCATTTATCACGGTAGGGTCTAGAACCGATTAACCGCGATAAACGAGGGTTCACTGTATTTACATATGTATGTGCCTTTATTTAGACCTCTATAACATTTTTTTATTTCTTCACTGCTGCTCCTAGGAACATTGATTATGAATCCAAGAAAAGAGAAATTCTTGATGGCTTTAATCTTTTCTACATTTATCATGATACTGTTTATTGGTCCACCTGTGAAGACTTTTGCTTTCTTTACAGCAAAGTGCAATCCACATTGAAAACTGCAGTTTTTATCTTCATCCGCTAGTAGTTTGATTCTTCTTTGCTATTAGCAAGTAAGGTTATATCATCTTTTCCAAGAGAATATCAAAACTTTTAAATTATAGCCTGAGAGGACTTAATTTGGTTATTAATCAAGTGTTGTTCTCCACAGTATCTGTCTGAAGAGATCAAGTGAGCGTGTCTACTTCTACTCTCAGTTATTCATCGGTTCCTGCCCTCATTCAGCATTTATTCGTTCTTTAGTGGTACTTACAATGTGGATATCTTTCTTGAATGACAACACTTTCATATAACACAAAGACTGCTTCTCTATAAATGCATAGCTATGATTTATAGATAACATTATGATAAAAAGGAATAGATTGTTTGTGTGAATTTTCCCTTATTTTCTTGGTTCTCTCACGCAGACACCTTGCCTCATCATTAACATCCTAAGATAATAATTCTTTTGTGTTTCCCTACATACTTATATGTAGGCATTTTATTATATATAAGCATCAATATGCATATAACCAGATGCAACAGGACACAGCATTTTTGTTTCTTAAAAACGGGTCATATTCTACAGACTATCTCTACCTTGCTTTTCTCACATAACAACAACTCATAGAAATTCTACCAATCACCTGGCTCAATTCCTTTGGTTTAATGTTTGTTTAATACTACATGGAATGGGTGTACCACAATTTATTAGTTCATTCCCCTAATAATAAGCATTTGTTTCCACCTCTTTTTGTCATTACACATGATGCTGTAAGAAATACTCTCCAACAAATATTCATAAATGCTGGTGTTATTGAAAAATCTTTTAAAACAGAGTATAAGTAGTGACATTTGCTAGTTCTTCAAATATAGTATTTATAATTTTAATTAAGACAGTTGTTTCTAGGATATTTTCCAAAATACTACAATTCACATTTCCATCAGCAGAGTATGAAAATATCCTTTTCCCTTCATGCTCCCCAGCAAAAGATACTTTGATATTGCTGTCATTCTGTTAGCTGTCAAGCTATCTTATTGTTATTTTAAGTTACATTTTCTTGTCCTCTATACAGTTTGAATATCAGTTCATATGTTTGTTGGTCATTTTGATTT